ATACAAAAAACAGCCCACATAAATGCAAAACTTTAACATAAGACCTGAAATTATAAAACTACTAGAAAAAAAACCAGAAGATAATTGTTTTATGACACTGGTACGAGCAAAGATTTCTTGTATATTTCCTCAAAAGCTCAGAGAACAAAAGCAAAAATAAACAAATGGAAACTAAAAAGCTACTGCACAGCAAAGGAAATAAAAAAGTGAAGAGACAACCCACATATTAAGAAAAACATTTGCAAATCATTTCTCTGACAAGGGACTAATATCCAAATTCAATGGAAAAACAAACAAACAACAAACCAAATAACCCAATCAAAAAGTGGCCAAAAGATCTAGATAGCTATTTCTCAAAAGAAAACAAATGACCAACAGCTATATTTAAAATGCTCATCATCACTAACTCTTAGGGAAAAAGATATTGGAACAAAAATGAGGTCAGCTCATATCTGTTACAATGGATATTATCACAAAGACAAAAAAAATAAGAAGTGTTGGAAAGAGTGTGAGGAAAATGGAACCCTTTCTGCACCACTGATGGGATGTAAATCAATAGAGCCATTATGGAAAACAACATGGAAGTTCCTCAAAAGATTTTGAAGTAAATCACACTTCTGAGTTTATACCCAAAGGAACTGAAATCAGTATGCAAAAAAAAAATCTTTTCTCCTGTATTTATTGTGGCACTATTCACAATAGCTAAATTATGAACAGATGAAGGAATACAGAAAATGTGGCATATGTACACAATGGAGTATTACTCAGCTTTAAAAGGGGGAAAGTTCTGTCTTTTGAAGTAGAATGGATAAATCCAGAAGATATTATGCTAAGTAAAATAAAAGTCAGGCACAGAATGACAGGTGCCTACATAATCTCACTTGCATATAAACCTAAAGAATTAAACTCATAAAACTAGAAGGTAAAATGGCAGTTAGCAGAGGCTACAGGAGGCCAGTGGGGAAAAAGGAGATATTAAAGGATACAAAGTTTCAATGAGATAAGAGGAATAACCTTTAGTTATCTATTGTACAGAATGGTGACCATAATAAATAATAATTCATTGTATTATTATGTGACTGTTAAAAGAATATGTTTTAAATGTTTTCACCACCAAAATTACAAGTATGTGAGGTGATAAAATTGTTTACTAACTTGGTTTAATCACTCCACATCATAAACATATATCAAAACATTACATCATACTCTGTAAGTATACATAATTATTGTCAATTAAAAATAAAAAATTCAAAACTTACTATTTTGTAATTCTATAAACAGAAGTCCAACACAGTCTCAGTGGGGTTGAGAAGACCTAGGGGAAAATACATTTCCCTGCCTTTTCTAGCTTTTGGAGATTGCTTGAGTCTCTTGACTTTGTTCCACTCATCCGTCTACAAAAGCCAGCCATGGTGGTCAGATCCTGTATTGCTCTGAACTCCACTTCCATCACCACATCCTTTTCTTACTCTCCTGTCTCCTCCTCCATTCTTTATTATTGTTTTCTTGTTGCTTACAAAAAATTCTGGATTATTTCTATTGATTTACATTTAATCTTCATTCTGTTTATGAAAGTAACATTTATTCATTGCAAAACTTTTAGACAGTAGAGCAACATAAAGAAGAAATTAGCTATCCAGCCAGAATCTCACTTCATTTTAATGTTCTTTCTTTGTTTATTCTCTAGACATTTTATTTTTATACATGTATGTTTACATGTACCTATATATGTATGTATGTATAGATAGATAGAAATAAAAGATAGATGATAGATCGATAGATAGATAGATGATAGATGGTAGATAGATAGATAGTTAGATAGAGCTTGTTTTATATGGGCTTATAATCCATTACTGAATTACAGTCCCATTTTTCTTTTGGTGGTGATTATGGGGTTTAAATTCAAGCCTTTGTACTTGCTAGGCAAGCACTTTTCCACTTACCCCAGCCCTTTTTGTTTTAGTTTATTCTAAAAATAAAAACGCCACACTTTTTTGCCTCATCTTCAAACCATGATCCTTCTACTTATGCCTCCCACATAGCTGGGATTTCAGGCATGCACCACCATGCCTGGCCCATATAATCTAAGTTTTTAAACTGGACATTATGAGCAATCTGATTCAAACTAATAAATTTAAGTCTGCATTTTAAATAACTATGTAATTCATGTGGAGATCCAATAAATGGAATGTCATTCAGGTCACTACAATTTTTATACTTTGTTGAGTTTGATTTGTCAATATTTTTGTTAAGGATACTTACATCTTTGTTCATCAGCGATATGGGTCTGTAGCTTTCTTTCCTTGCAATTTCTTTCCTTGCAATTTCTTTATCTGGCTTTGGTTTCACGGTAATGCTGAGCATGCAGAATGAATTAGGAAGTATTCCCTCTGCCTTTATCTTCTGAAAGAGATTAGCAAGAATTGTTATAATTTCTTTCTTAAATGTTTGGTAGAATTCCTAAATCAATCTATCTGGGCCTGAAGCTTTCCGTTTTGGAAAGTTACTAATATTGATTCAATATTAGATGTCTTTAATAAAGATGGGCCTATTCACATTGTCTAATTTTGGTAGACTGTGCTTTTCAAGGTGTTGGTTCATTTCGTCTAGTTTTTCCATTTGTTGGATAGAGAGTTGTTCATAGTATTCTTGGGTTTTTGTTATTTGGTTTAGTTTTGGTTCTGTTTTGTTTTTTTTTTTTTTAGTGTAGTCTAGGCTGACCTTGAGCTGGGTCCTCCTGCTTCAGCCTCCCAAGTGATTGGATTACAGGCATGTGCCACCACATCCCAGCTCCATAGCATTGTTTTATTATCATCTAATGTCCATGGGATTTGAATGGTGTCACCTCTTGCATTTCTGATTTTAGCAATTCTTGTCTTCTATCCTTTTTTTTCTTGGTGTGGCTAGAATAGAGACTTAATGATTTTATTGATCTTTTCAAAGAACCAGATTTTAGTTTCACTGATTGTTCTCAATTTCCATTTCCAATTCCCTTAGTTTCTGCCCCATGTTCCACTAATTATTATTTCTCCTCTTATGCTTATTTTGCATTTAATTTGTTATTTTCCTAGTTTCCCAAGGTGGAAGCTTTGATGATTAATTTTAGATCGTTCTTCTTTTCTAACATATTCAACACTAAATTTCCCCCTAAACACTACGTGCACTAGATCCCAATGATTTTGATAAGCTGTGCTTTCATCTCTATTTAGTTCAAAATATTTTTAACTTCTCTTCATATTTCTTCTTTGGCCTTTTCCTCTCCCACTTTTATTTATAGTGGGTCTAACTGGATCATCCATGATCATCTCTCTATTTTAACATCAAAGGATTACCAACCTGAATTTTCCTTTGACATGTAGTCTGTCACAACCACAGGTTCTGGAGATTAGGATGTGGATACATTCAGGGAGTATGGAAACACTATCTGCCTACCATGATGGCTTATTTCTAAGTTAGCAAAGGAGGGCTGAACATATAATGGTACATGTCTGTAATCCCAGCTACTTGGGAGGTGGAGCTAAGAAGATTGTTATCTGAGGCCAGGCCCAGGTAAAAACACCAGACTTTATCTGAAATGTAATTAAAACAAAAGGGGCTAGGGGCATCACACAAGTGGTAGACTACTTGTCTAGCAAGCTCAAGACCCTGAGTTCAAAACCCTAGTACTTCCAAAAGCAAGAGTTGGAAAGGCCATTTGATCAACAAAATCATACTCTGAAAAAAGAGGTATTTGTTTTCAAAGACTGAATTGTTAATCTGTTGAATTATAAATCATAGGGATGAGGAAAACAATGAGGACATTTGGTGCAGATGGCTCTTCCCAGAAAGAATTTCAGTGGCCTATATTTTGGATGCTCACTGCCCTGTCAGCTGCTGCTAGATCTTTTAGGCCTGTTCTCTTCTGAAAAGCATCAAAACTCTTCACAAGTTTCTCCTGTTCTGGGTCCCAGGAAATGTCTACATGATTGAAAGCTCAGGTTCTAGATCTCCATTGCTTAGTAGCTAAGTGTCCTTTAGGAAGTTGTTCAATCTAAGACACAGAAAAAGTGTCTTGTGGAGATTCAGTGTAAGACTCTTGGCAAATTATGCAGCAGTTAGTAACCACTCAACAAATCGTAGTACTAGCCTCAATAGTAACAGTAATGTAGCAGAAGTTAAAATGTTAGTAGCACGGAAGCTTTTACAGGTATCGAGAAGCAGCAGCACAGTGGCCTCATGCATGGTTTCTAGTTCACCCTGTGGCCCATGGGGCTCTGACACATCTCTAAGAGGCATGGCAGCCAAACGGTCTGGGTGCAAAGTAGGCAGAACAATTCTGCTAAAATCTGTCTTGTGTATGGCTTTTGGCATTCATTGAAATAAAAACTAGCAGCAGCTTCAAAAACAAAAATTGAAAGCCACTGTTCTCTCTGAAAGAAATGACTCCATAGCAGTGGAAGAGTGACAGTCCTCGGGGAGGTATTTGGAGAAGCAGTTCCCCCAAATCTGATCACAGGAGCAGCTGCCTATTCTGCCCTGTATGGTGTCAGGCTAACCTTGAAGGAAGAGAGACAAGAGAGTGGCTTAATGCCTGCTTCACAGAAAGAATGCTGGTGCTCCTAGCTTGTTGGCAAGAGACTTGGCTGGCTTGTACCTCAACAAAAGCATTACTAAATTCCTTGAGAGTGATAATGTAAATGTTATTTATATTTTGCCTTCATGAAGAAAGATAAAATCATGTGAAAATGGTAAGAAGAAATGTTGTGCATTTGAAATGTTTCCAAGTTGGTGGTCTTTATTTCACTTTGGGAATAACTGTGGCTTTTCCTGCCTTATTTGATAATTACTTCCTTTACAAACATCAATTGATTTTTTTCATGTGCAGAAAAACATGCACAAACGATAGTGCCCAAAATAATCCTTTCTTTTCTGATATACTACATGCTCTTTTGGTATTTTTAGCATTTTATACTTGATAAACAAATACTAACCACTGATTTCTGTTTACTTTTTTCTCTCAGGTCTTTAAGGAAAAGATACTCTATCAAACATCTGATAGTCACAAATTTGAAAACGTGCTTCAGAATCCCAGCATATAGTAAATGGAAAAGACAACACCAATAATTTTACCTGTCAAGAAGCTGTGAACACACAGTGTATAAATTCTTTACCAAGGCAACTCGACACTTTTCTCTGGGCTTGAATCCCCCTGCTCACATGCTCTTTACACACATAGACCTTCCATTCACTGCAGTGGGAATTACCAGTGTGTAGAGGGAGAAATTTTCCAGTCTGCAGACTGAAATGTTGTAAGAAAAAATAAAGTCTGTGACTTTTGAATAAATCACCAAGGCCAAGATTAAAAGAATCTTTGGTCTATAGCTTTTCCCGAGATTAACAAGCCCCTCATTAGGCTATATATAATTCAAACTGCATCAGTTCAAGGTTGTTACCACTTGAAAGAAACCTACACATTGCCCCTGACCCTGACCTCTTCCACAATCCATATTACTGAGTAGTCTGAATTGGAATTCCAGTGAATTGCAAATTCAACCTCTTTTCTCCCTTGAAAATGGCAAGTCATTATAATATATTTATACTTTCTCTGGACTCTGAAAGCAATTGGCTTTTTATTTTGTTTTCATGAATTTTATTATGTTTTAATAGAATGAGACACTTTTAGCCCTACTTTTAGTTTATTAGAAGCAAGGGCAGAACCCTTGTAGTATACTTTTTAATTTAAGTATTGCTTGTATCTGTTATTATTAATTCTAACAGAATATAATGTATATTTATTTCACAAAGTATATTATCAGCGTTCACAAGTTATAACTTGGGTTCTCTTCTAATCAAGAGTTATGACTCTGGTAAGAGAACTCAAGCAAAGGCCCTAGATTCTTGAACTGGTCCTCACATGATATATATATATATCCCTGCTCTCAATGTTTTTTGTTAAGTTTTATATTTTGGATTGATAAACTGTGGAGGGAATCTAAACTCTTTCTGCATACACAAATTTGCTCTCATAGATATCTACTTGATATTTTAAAGGTTAAGGCTTCACAAAATTGAATTATAATAGTCATATATATACATATACACAAACATATATCACACAAAGTTTAGACCTGCTTACCCAAATATAAACTGTATTTTGTCATTTTAAGATAAAAAATTTCATGCCTCTTAAAATTGGGAACCAGTGATATCAATATTGTGAATGACATGCTGCTTCCTCTACAGGGAAAAGATACTTCATTTCACATATTCTTATAGGTAAATAGATAGTGATACATATCATCTGTCAGAAAGATCTGTTAGACCCACCTATACAGATAATAACTTTTGACTTATGGTAAAACTAGTCACCTACTCTGGTTTTATATCACGAAATGGGTAGGAAGTGATCATTATTTGGGCACTCAAAGACCTAAGCACAAAAATGTACCTGAAAAAAAAAATAGTTGCCCAGTTGAAACAACCTAGATAGATCACTAAAAGGGGCAAATATTTGAATATTCCCTTTTCTCAAATGCAGAAATCAATTCCCCAAGATACCATAAATTTGGCATCAGATTGTTCTCCAAAATAGAGATTTATGAAGCTCACCTTAGAGACTATCTTCTTGAAAGTAAAATAAACCAGTCAGAATTACCCAGCACATTTTATTTTTGCCCTTTTGGGTGGTACTATTGTCAATACTAAGTTCTTATTGCTTTTCATAGTGCATTACCCACCAGGGGACAAACAGCAAGGAAACTGGGAGCTATTCCAATTTAGTTCAGCAACATTCTGCTGTGGTAACAGGTTCTCATCCTTGAAAACATATCATTTTTTTACTAGAGAGAAGTGGGAAGATTGGTGCGGGCAGTGAGAATCCTGAATGTTATGTAAAATAGGTTTATAAAAGAGACAAGCATGACAAAAAAGAATAAATGGAGACTATATGAGTATTATTCAGTTTGAAAGATAGTTCTCATTTTTATAAGAAAAATTTAATAAAACATATATTTTAGTTATCATTTAACAAAGAAATATTAAAGCACTTCAGGCAATGCCACAAGTTCTCATAAAAGGAAATCAGTGTACCCTTCCAATGAGAAAATGGTCATTTCAACACATTTCAATACATTGTATAAATTTGGAGCTTAAGGTAGGTAGTTTTCATTTAGCTGTTAGGTGTTCAATTAATATTGATGTTATCATATGATTTTACATTGATACAGTATGGTCTTGGTATTTCAGAAGCAACTTTCGAAGGAGTAGATACCTTTGGTTTGTGTTTTCTAGAAGTCTTTGTATTTTATGCTTCATTTGTGTAATGTAGATGCTGATAAATGTTTGCCAGGTTGCCACCATACCTATGGAACCCATGGACAGATTACATGTCACAGTGCCCTACATACAAATCACTAGTTTTCTTCAGCAAAAATTAATTTTGTTGAAATTGAAGCCTTTGTCTAAAATTTTATTAAAAAATAGCCACCCCCAAGACTTAAGAGAGGCCACTTGTGGTGGCCTCTAAAAGAAAAGAGAGAAAAATTGACATAATTTTTACTAATGTGCTTTATTTTTAATGATCATATTAGAGCCGCTGACATGTTCCAAGTCATTTTTTTTTTAAAAGATACAGCAGATTACTCTACATGGAGCTCAAATGTTCAGTAAAAGTTAAGGGAGGAATGTTGTGACTTCTCATCAGCAATTCTGGTGAATTCTAGCTCTCTCCCTTGGTCAATTTGGAGGATAGTGGAACAGATTTCTCTAAGCTTTTTCCTCTATGATTTTAAAGGGAAATATAGAGGGTCGTTCAGTAAAAGAAATCCTGAACCTTTCATTGGAGCATTTACGTTTGATTCTGTTGCCATTTGAAGTAGAGCATCTGCAGATAAATAGCGAGCTTAAATTACAATTGACATTGGAGAGAATAAACAGACTTTTGTGCTTCCTCAGTCATGTAATCAATAGGGAATTCTCTAGTCATTTGAACTACCACTATCTTTAAGACAATGCTAAGATCTAAATGCAAAATCTAGCATTCGGGACTTATTTAGGATTTGAGGCAGCCTCTGAAGGACTTGGCTAGAAATGGATTACACCAATTTACAATTGCAGTTTTCAACTGTGACACCAAACTGATCTTATCTCATTTCACTTCATGCAGCTGTACATCTAGGACCCCAAGACATGGAATATTTTGTCTACATTACTTTAAACATTTATAGATATTTGTGGATGTGTAAATAATGCCTAAATTTTTCATCTTTTAGCTATTTGTGCTTATCAAACACACTTAGCCTGTAAGACCAGCTTTGGGCAACATCATGAAGTAGATAAAGACCAATGCTCTGAAGATGCAAGGAGACAAAAATAGAGTGAGATTTCATAAAAATGAGATGGTCCTACCTATCCTGTCCCTTTCTAGAACAGACTCCTTTAGACAAAAAGGGCTGTGATTATAACCTTATTGGCTCAATGCAAGCACTCAGTGAATATTTGTTGAATGAATGAATTATTGAGGAGCTGCGTAGACAAGTGAATACGTTAATACGTATAGTATTAGTAATAGTTTCTAGGATTCACAGACCTTTAGAAAGGGACATTATTTGAGATTTTGATTTTTCACACTGAATAAAACCAAACCTTTCTAGTTCATTATGAAAATATCTTGAACCATTTGGCAAAGAGTGTCCAAATATAGAACTTCATTTCTTAATTTTATCAAATATTCTATGTTAGCTTTTGTAAAAGAAGAAAAGTTACATCATCAAGCATATTATTAGTATCCTTTAATAGTTATTAACATTTCTCTGAAGAATTTATAAGTATTGTAGATACCATTTCTAAATCTTCGCTTGCTTTCAAAATATCACCTCTTCTTCATTTGATTCCTAGATATATCTGAGGTAAAAATGAATCACTTGCATGTTCAAATTTTTCCATGTGCTTATTCATCTAACAAATGTTTATTGTGTACCCAGGAGATTCTAGGTTCTGGAAACACAATAAAAAACAAGACAGACACAGTCCCAACATGGACTTTACTTTGAGGAATTCCTCAACACTTACTCTGGCCATAACTAGAGTCCTACATCCATTGGGTCCCTTTCACACCTGCTAGAAGAAATAAATTCTCTTCTTCCACGGAGATCATGAAATATTCCCTGTACAGATTTATGTCAGCTTGATTTTCTTAATACACCACTCAAAATCAAGTGCAGTAGGTAATAATTTAGTCACATCTTTTCAGCTCTTGATATGTTCTATATACCCTGCTCAGTGTTCTCATGAACTATCTTATTTAATCCCTTCAACAACCCTATTCAGTAGGTTCTATTTTATGCACAATAACATTGAAGCACAGATACGTGACTTGTTCAAAGTCACACACCTAGCAGGTAGATACTGGGATTTGAACCCATGCAGTCCAACACAAGAGTTCATGTACTTAATCATTATATGTGGTTTGTGGGGCACTGGTACATATTAAAATGAATGGGTCAATAAATGTGTCATTGTATATAAAAGTATCTTGAAACTGTAAATCATTATACAAAATATGTTAGTAAATTATTACTCATATCAGCCAATCTCATCAGTGACAAAAACTGGGTTAGAACTCAATCTTACATTATAGCTTGTTTTCACAAAGAATACTTCAAGCCAGAGACATGGATGAAAGTACATATCCAGAAAAGTTCTGATTTGTGATAAGTATTTCAATGACTTTTCAGAATTATTTCTTGTTAGCCACTGTGTCTATTTGGTGCTACAAAAAAACTGAAAGAGACAAAACCCCTGCTCTAAGGGCTCATAATAAACACACAGTGTAGAAATGAACAAAGGATATTTAACATTGGTGGGGAAGGATTGGGCAATTGTACTATTCTTTTTACCATTGCATGTGCATCATGTCTTTCTGATTGTTTTCATTATTTTTCTGAAAGAGCTGCAAAATTGTGCAGTGGTTCAACCTGACCAAAGTGGTATTATGCTGCTGGGAAGTAAAAGTATTAGACACCAGATTGGAAGTGTTGTCTTTATTATATAGAAGGACTTTTTACATACTAAATTTCTTGTGTTTCTCCATTTCTGAGTACATGGCGAGATCATTCTATTGAGGGATTAGGTTCTGTAAAGGAAAAATGAAACCATGTTCTCCTTTCTACATAGACTCAGCACAAAAAAAAAACTTCTGTGACAAGATTGGAGCAGAGGAGTTGAAGCAGTTCTCCATAGGAATAACAACTGGTATTTTACATTTGTATAATTCAATTCTAATGTTATCTACCACACCTCTCCAATTTTCCCTATATCTTGCTGCTAAATAATTCCTCCTGACTG